TCCTTTGTCACTATTTTTCTTTCGGAGTGACTGTCCGTGAAGCAAAAATCACGTGCTTACAACTGTTACCCACATGTATATCCTCATCCATTGTTGTTACTTGCGTATTTCCTACTTTGTAATTCCTACTATCGTGTTTCTGTCATCTGGTTGGTTCTATTATACGTACATTTAGGAAGGATGATTTGAACACACGAAGGGTGTTGTCGTGCTAATTGATTTGCCACATAAATTTATTTATATATGGTAAGGATGAGATAGAAGCATGAAGGGTGTCATCGTTCCATTTGACTTGATTTCTTGGATACACTTCTCATACCAGGAAAGATTGTAAATCTTCTATTGTGATTCCTGCTAGTAATTGTTGACTGTCTCGCAGAGTTGTATACGGTATTTTTATCTGTTATGTTTTGAAATGCCTATATTGTTAGTCTAATGTATAGGTTATAACAATAAGCATCTTTCAACTAAAAGCCTTGTCCCTACCTTGACGAGGTTAGACAAAATACTTACCAGTACATGGGGTCGGTTGTACTAATACTACACTTCTGCACGTTTCGTGCAGATTTTGGAGCGGAGTTGCTGGTGACGTCGGGTGCTGATTCGGAAGATGTTCGTGTGTTTGGATATAGCTGCCACTTGTCCTTGGTAGTTTAGATTATTGTTAATCTGTTTATGTAACATTCAAACAGAACGTGTATTTATTTGTATCAGTTTTGAAATTCTAAATCTTAGAAGCTCATGATTCGTACTACCAGGTCTTGGTAAATTTGTAAAGGTTAAGTTAGTTATTCTCTATTTTCTTATTATCTCAATTGTATTGTATTTTCATGTTTGTTGGCTTACCTAGCGGGTTGAGTTATGTGCCATCGCGACTTGTGGTTTTTGGGTCGTGACATTTTTCTTTTAGTGTTTAGTCATGTAACGTATAGTACTTATTGGTCGTACTTATTTTAGAAACTTATTAGTAATTTTTAATTATGTTTGTTTTCATTATAGCTTATTAATAATAATTATTTTATGTGATTTTATTATTTTTATTGTTGAATATTTTAGTACAATAACATAATTCATCTCATATTTATGTTATTTTATTGAAAAATACCTTATATACTTCTATCTTATTAGAATTAAAGAAATATTTGGAAAAACCCCGAAAAACCCGAAAATTCGAAAAACCTGAGAAAAAACCGAGATTGAAAAACCCGACTTTTATTAGTTTGGTTTGGTTTGGTTTTTAGATTTGTTAACCCGATACAATTGGTTTGGTCTGGTAATTAGAAAATCCGAACCAACCCGACCTATGTACACCGTCTGTACCTTTGCTTTTAATTTAATTCACAAAAAGTATCACTTCATAGAGGCAAATCGATTCTGCCAATTGAGATCCAAAAAAAAAAGATTATATATGTATGGAGTATTACCTGATTTACGAGTCCATTACTTAAACAGTCACTCAACTATTCGAAATTATTGTGTAAAGTCATCTTTCCTTTGTTTGTAGTAAGGAAATCACTTAAGTATGCATATAATACTCATAAGGTCACTCTACTAAATTTCTCAAAATTTTGATTATAAAATACCTATTTTACCCTATAAATTAAGTGTAAATTATCAACTTTTATCTTCTTCTTTTTTTACATTTTTTATACTAAGATTTTTTCCCTCTTTTAATCAACATTATGGACTTACCTATAGAACAAATAAATTTTATTAAAACTAAAAAATAAAAAATTATTTATCTAGCATATATAATGGTTAAAATAATAATATAATTGAGCATAATTATCAAAAAATATATAATGTATATTATAAAAATATATTTATCTTAAATAATTGCTTTCTGTAGTGCGTGTATGGAATATATATTTTAAAACTTTTATTTTCTTTTATTCTCAATTGTGTAAATAAATTTTTGAGTTTTTGTTGTTAATACCATACTTATTATTACGAACAAATTTTTCTAATTAATTTTCTACTATGTTCAATATTTTATTATTCCTACATTATATATGCTTAAATAAAAACTTTTGATTAAGGTTGGAGGGATCCTTAGCCTACCACTAACCTTAGCATTTGATTCTAGATCTTATAGTAGTGGAGGAAAATAATCTTTTATAGCCCACGATTAATTTCATGTTATTCCTCCTTTTCTTCTATTCTTCTTGCTCCTCTCCGGTCCCTCTTCTTCACGGTTGGAGAGCTTCAATTGAAGCTTTAGTTGCTTCTTTGTGTTTGATAGGAGTCTTATATGTCCAAGTTAACAGAAATATCTTAAACTATAGTACAAAATGAGCAGAATAAATCTTACATTCCTACTGCTACTTTAATGCTAAAAACTAATAACGGCTCTCTAACTTCTTCTCTGACCAGGTATAATAACTTCAATCGACGACCTTCTCTTCTTGCTTTTCTCCATGCTTTGAGTTTTAAATTCGTCATTTGATATTAGTCGTTCAGTTTTAATTCCTCATTTCAATGTTAGTTTTCGTGGACAAGTAATCTTTATCCTTCTTTGCTTTCATGGTATGTCTATCAAGCTATCTGAATGAGCAGTTAATTTGATTCAAGAATATTGTATTTCAAAAGTGGGTGATAAAATTCCTGAACGAACGGTTTGATTTAATTGTGAAAATCTCGTTCCCTGTTTGCTTTTGCTGATTTTGTTGGAATTCCTTGCTGCAAAATGTCTGAATACTTCATAGCTAGAGTAAGGTACTCGTGTCAAATTCATCTAATTAAAATTCCATGCAATTTTCATGATACATCCTCCATTTTTAATTATTTAGTGTGTGTTGTTCTTTTATCAAGAGACAATTTGACTGTTAATCACGATCCCTCGACTCAGACGGTAGTAGCAGGACGTGCTTTCATCTATATATACACAAAAATATAAGGGGTAAGTCTTAAGAACATTAAAAATTCTCAAGTCAGTTGTTAACTAGTTGGGAATAGTCTTTATAAAGACCTGAATGCATATGACAAATGCATGCAATATGCAAGCACATGAAAATGTCACATAGACATACATTTGAGTCATCAAATGCATAAACAACTACTATATCATACATCCATGAACATGGTTTGTGCCTAGTATACGTTGCAATAGACCTTCCACAGGCCACAAGCGACGTTGTTTGGCACGCTATCGTTGCATTAAATGGTTCTCATATGAACTATATATAGCAATGCAACAATTGTACTCATCATATCAAGTATAACATGCATAACCATCAACATTCGAGATAACTCATGTCAAATAGTACTTTACATTACGAGTTCACGTGAACCTAGGAGCTTTTTCCAGGTTTTATACACAGTGACAGAGCTAAAATTTTCATTAAGTGAATCAAATATAAAGAAGTAAAACTATAAAGAAGTCAAGAGGAGTCAATATATAGTGTGTATATAAAAAATGAATTTTTTACCTACTTACATAAGGTATTTTTCCGGAGAAAAGATGTCAATTGAACTCCTTAAATCCATGTGGCTCCGCCACTATATATATATATATATATATATGTTAAAAGATTTAGTAAATATCTATAAATATTTGATTATGAATTCAACTATTATTTTTATATTAATTTGAGGTGATTATATGAAGCATGAACTTCAAATCATGAATCGGTCTATGATTTTAGACTGTACAGTATCTAGCAAACGACCCCTATATCTTTATATCCCAAGGTTAATTTCATTTTCATCTTTTGTCTTCTTCTTTCTCCTTGCCCTCTATTTCTTTACTCTTTTTCACGGTTGAAAAGATTCAATTGAAGCTTAGTTGCTTCATTGTGTTTGGTAGCATATACCGAAGGCTTTACCTCTTTGTTTTTGACTAGCATCTGTAAATTATTATCCAGGTTAGCTACATATTCCTCCATATGTGAGCTTAGGTCCACTGTACAAACCCTTCATTTGTTTTTCGTTTTCTTTTCTCTTTCTCTAAGACAAAAATAATGTCCATAATTTTTGGGTTATTACTGGTGCATGCAGGGTTGAAGTGGTGATGAACGTGTATATGGGTTTGTGAATTCTGGCGGAATGTAGGAGAAGGAATCTAATTTGTATTGATTTTTTATCTTCTATATGGGGTGGTACCGCCAGAAAGTTACAATACAAACATACATTCTGATTTATGTTTTATTGTTCAGACAAGTTATATTATGTTCATTTTTTTTGAATAACATTTGTTGATGATGTTAAGAATTGCTTTGTGAGAGAGCGGGAGGAGAAGCATACTCACAACTGTGTTGTTCACTCTGCTTTTTGGTTTTTCCTTTAATATCACTTCTAGTTTATATGCAATTTCTTTTATTTCTTTCCATCTGCCCATGGCCTGGGTGGACAGAGTTATTCGTAGTTAATTGGAGGTAGCAAGTATCCGCGGAATTAGTTCAGGTGCGGACAAGTTGTTTTGACACCACGATTATAGAAAGTATGCACTTTCTGAGAAACACGCATAATGCACTAGTCAAGTCAACAAAAACTAAAACGCCAGTCGGTAAGTCGCTTTCTGCTTTGAATTTTCAAACACTAGACCCAGTGAACTGAGGTTTAAACACTATTTATCTACTCCCTCCGTTTCAATTTCAATTTATGTGAACCCATTTGACTGGGTACGGAGTTTAAAAGAATAGAGAAGGCTTTTGATTTTGTGATGTAAAATGAAGCATATATATTTTGTGTGGCTATAAATCATTGTGTAAAGATAAATTGTTTCCAAATAAGGAAAGAAGTCATTTTTTTTGGCACAGACTAAAAAAGAAATAGGTTCAAACGGAAGGAGTACCATTTTGAAGGTTGTCTAATAGATTTCACTCTGATAATCTTGATTATTGATCAGAATTTCATTACTGCTCATGGAAGGTGCAACTTTACTTTATTTTCTCCTTCTTGTAGCTGTTTTACATGGATTTTCCAGTGTGCAAACTGGTGCTATGAATTCAGGCATTCATTGCATTGAAAGTGAAAAAAATGCTCTTATCAAGTTCAGGCAAGGTTTCAGGAATTCATCGCAGATCATGTTGTCTTGGATGCTCGAGGATAACTGCTGCAACTGGAAAGGTGTTGAATGCGACAACACAACTGGGCACGTGATCACTCTTGATCTGCACAAGCAATTCTTGCAAGGTGAGTTTGGGACTTCTTTGCTTGACTTACCTCATTTAAGGCACTTAGACGTGAGCTAAAATGATTTCCTTTGGGGCGCTGATTCCTGAGTTTATTTCCACTTTCAAGAACCTAGAGTATCTAAATTTGTCCAAAACCAATTTTAGAGGAACGATTCCTGAACATCTTGGAAATTTGTCACGGTTGCAGTTTCTTGATCTCAGTGGTGATTTTTTACTCCGGGTCAATAACCTTCAATGGATTCAGCACCTCTTCTCTATGAAGATTCTTAACTTGAGTGGAGTTGACATGACGCGATAAACTGGCTACTTGACACTACTGGAAAATGAGCCTATTGCAACAGCCGTAAAACCGTTGCAACAGAGAGGTAAACCGTTGCCATAGAGTTATTTGAACGGTTTAGAAACCATTACATACGATGCCGTGCCAGTAGATCTAGAGTAACGGTTCTTGCAACAGTTACCCAAACCGTTGCTTAAGGTATATCTATCGCAACGGTTGTTCCTCTGACTGAAGCAACGAGTATTTCTTTCCAGTTGTAACGGTTACAAACCATTGCCATATAGTTTATAGCAATGGTTGACAACCGTTAACATATAATATATTGCAACGGTTATTTAAGCTATTGCAACGTTTATTTACAAATATTCTAACGGTTTCATTACGCTACTATAACGGTTTTATTTCTTTTGCAACGGTTTTAACTACCTATTGTGTTAGTTTGTTGCACATTTTGGAAGGATTTGTAAGACCTAATGGAACGGTTTTGAATACCTATTGGAACAATATTCACAACTTAAAAAACTAGCTACTGATACCTAATAATATTATCTTCATCTTTCCTAATTCATTAGTTTACCACATTGCCGAAAGCTTATATAATACTTCTCTTATTCATTTCCTTCCAGACACTGTAACGATGTTTCACCAGATGACTTTCTTCAGCTTAACAAACTATTCAGTTAGTTATTTCCATTTTCCTTTTCCATATTAAACATTGAAACTAGTTAAACACAACATAAGCAACAAGAAAAGACAAATTTTGCATCCTTTTGAAGAATGCTCTTATAAATCTTTCTTGGGACCAATGTAACAAAGGAAAAACGAGAGAAGAGTTAACATTAGCTCAACTATAACTAGTTGACAGAAGCCTTCAATCTAGAGAGTCTACTATGAGGATTTAGAAAGAAAAGAAAAAAAAACAAATGGTAAGCAATTGAAACAAATGATCACTAGCGAAGTATGGAGTTGAGCCCAACTAGTTTGTAACTAAAATGTAGTTGACTGATTAATTAATTTAGGTTTCAAAGATACAAAAACCAGCCAGCCACACAATAGATGTTGCTTTTGCCAATCAATAGATGGCCTTGTACAGAAAACCAAGATAAATAGGAAGCAACATGTGTGAGGAAGCAACATGTGTTGATATTATAAGCCAATTATTCTCTTTATAAAAGGTTATAGCTAATCTGAATAAGTTTAAGTGAAACTTTAAAAAAGAAGCAGAAGGAGGAGAAGAAGAAAGCAAGAAACAACAAAGATAGACGTACTCACCTTGATTATTACTCCCAGTAGATAGGCGATTGATTAGTTGCACAGCAGCTTGTTGTGCAGAGGAAGCTTCTCCAGGTGAAGGAGCATTGAAACCCAGCATGCTGGGATCAACCCGTAAATCTGGATTCATATGCTTAAATTATGAAATGATGCTAACTACAACTTGTAGTTCCATGGCATCTGTTTGTGCATTGAACTTTTCCTGCAATCTTTGCTGCATCCTTTCTTCCATTTCCTCCAATTTTTGCTGCATCACCTCATCAGTAGAACTTAAAGAGGGTTCAAAATCTCCGACTTTTCTTTTTAAGAAAGTCTTGATAACCCCACGTCCATACAATCTTAGGCGACCCGGATGCTCAGGTCCCATGATTGATGCAAATGCATCAACTGATTGACTGCCATCTTCACTTTCTTGTGTCGATTGTAGTCTTTCCATTTCAACCTACAAGACCAAATTGAGTCATTATTAAATCAGAAAGTATATGACACTGAGTCAACAACTAAGAATAGACAAATGATAACAACAAACTTTAAATTAATAACTCGTACAATTTTATTAAGAGTATCCGCATACGAGGCCTTGTATACTCAATCAACTTTTCTTTTTCTCATAGCCACAAAGATGTCCTTGCTTGATAGAGGGTCAGAAATTTCTTTCTTTTTTTCCTGATTATATAAAAAGTGGTATAAAAATATCTTGGACTAAAGTTAATAAGTTCATATTTAAAAGAATAATAATAAGAAAAAAAATATCAAACCTCGCATATTCAAGCAGAACTTCTTTTGCCAGCAGTGTGTGGATATTTCAACTTTTTGCGATTCTCGGTATTGGTTTGGGACATTTTCTGCAAATCGGCCAATAAATACAAAGTTGTCAAGTTCAGTTGTCCCAACAGATTCAAATCAAGCTTAAATTTTGCATTAGGTCATGTAACCTAAGTTCATTTGATGTATAAAAATAATAAGTGATTTCTAATTAAACATAAACCAGACATTCTCAGCAAATCATGAGACAGTACTTAGTTTTATCTTGTAGGCATCAGAGTTCCAATAATTAAGAAGATCCCTAAATTGAGATTCAGGAACATCAACCGGCCTTTTCTCCATTAGAAGCTCGTCATTCTCATAGGGTTTATAATGGTCGTTAAATAGTTGATTCTTATACTTTCTCCAAGAATTCTGAATCGAATAAAAAACCCACCTTTTTGCAGCATCAGGAATATCATATTTTCCCTACAAATTTAATTTGGTATNCCAATGTGCCGAGGAAGCTACCCAACTCTGCTACAACATCACCAGTAGGACCTATGGGTTGATTATTCTCGTTTAGCACAATTAGTTTGCGCTCTTTCCTACCATGAACACTTGGCATCAAAGTTTTTCCTCTTTTTCTTTTTTCTTCAGAAGGACGTGCATTAATATTAAGTAAGAATAATCACCATATATCCCGTCCATATTATTTGCTAATTTAACGAAATAAAATTTATATATTCTTGCCTTGTTCCTCGGATTGTTCGTTTGTTTCATGATTGGAAGAATTCTCAAATTGTTCATGTACCATTTGGTGATTCGAGTCCAAGGGTACTTACTGCGCAAGTTTATGAAATTTGAGAATGGTAGAGTTGTCTCTGACTTGTTTGGATCATAATTGGCTCTTTTTTATGCTTCATATGGACAAATAAGCTGAAACACTTAGTCTGTACCTGCCAATATTCACTGATTGTGTTGACACCAATGATGCCAAGGTCTAAATCTCCTGATACCAACTTTCAAACAATGTCTTTTGGCCGTTGAAACCAAATTTGGATCAGATTAGATATCTGTAACCCACAAAGAAAAAGAAGGCTTGTAATTAAAGTAGACCATGTGTTCTCCTAAATAATAAGCTCTAGATTCCAAAGAGATAATCCAAAAAAAATGCAATGCTTAAATTAGACATTTCCATGCAGGTTCGACAACTTATTCACTTAAATACAACATCGTGATGAAGAGTTTATTGGTAAAACCAAAGCAACCAATTTAACATAAAATCATGATTTTCATGGATGGAAATGCAGGCTTGACTCATGTTAAATTCGTGGGCGAAGGTAAGATGGTCATTCTCAGATTTTATTCAAGATTTTAAATCTTTACATTCTGTTAGTCACAGTTCTATAAAGAATAGATGAATATCAGTATATGGTCCATTATAACACATTGGGTTAGCTTAATAGATAAAATTGTTTGAATAAGGACAGATCATTAGGGTAAGTTCTTTATCGAATCACTTACACTAACCATTTCCTTTATCACATAAGATTAGGAACTACTAGAAGTGAACAAAGGGATGTAAAGATAAACTTCTTCAAGCTACTGTCATGAAATGCCCTATGGGTATATAAATTATTAAAATTATATAAACAAGAGTAATTATAAAATATTGATAAAAAATATTATTACTCACTCTAAACAGAATATATTTAAAAGAATATAAGAAGTTTCTTCTTTAATCATCTGATTCCATCCAGTCCTAATCAGTATCATCAAACTCATTCTCCTCTTCCGATGTTTCTATAATTGTATCATGTGATATTGTGCATTAGATGGAATATCAACGACATCAACGGGTACATCGTTTCTTGAACATCCAAACTCAACATCAACTAATCCACTTAAGGAACCAACGTCATCATTAGGCTCCCTCCAAAATGCGTTTTCATTATTGAGGCAATTCTCTTCCTCTAAATCATATAAATCAACAGGGACTTTATTCCTTGCATAATAAACATCTTTCTCAACAGGATCCTCCACATAAAAAACTTGATAAACTTGTGATGCTAACACAAAAGGATCATCTGTACTACATAATTTCTTAAAGTACACACGGGTTAACCCATATTCATCTAGTTCATTACGAAACAAGTCGCATCTAAATAGTACAACACTGAAACAACCCCAATAATCAATCTCAATGATATCCTGAATAGCTCCATAATAGATAACCTCACCATCGATGGGACTTTGGTCCCTAGAGCTAGCAAAGCTATCAGTTGTTGCCGATAAAATCACTCTATTGTTTTGAGTCTTGCATCTGGAATCCCGTTCTATGGTATGAAATCAGTATCCATTAATGAAATATGCAGTATATGTTTTGGCAATCGCATTAGGCCCTTTAGCTAGCCATCTTACATAATTGGGCACTTCAATATTTTTAACTTTCTCAGCAAACCAATTGTTGAATTCACAAGTATGATTTCTTGCCCTTTCCCATGCATTTGATCTACTGCGATTAACAATTAAATTCTTATGTTCCCTGCAATCATGAATATTTCAAGATCAATTATATCATTAAAAAAATGAACTATAGAATAAGTGTTATATAATTTATCTTACTCGATAAACTTTTCCACTTGTTCATCTCCAGTATTGAATAAAGCATATCGATGTGCTTCATAACATAACTGTGGATCCATGGGAAAAGTATTTTTCTTCTTACTTCCAATTGGATGGCCTAAACAGGGAATATAGATGACAAATGTTGAGGGCACTCATCATCTACAATTGGGTATCTACTGAATCTTGTCTTCACGCTGTCATGTAGGTATCTTGAACAAAAAATCAAACACTCTTCTGCCAAAAATCCCTCTGCTATTGATGCTTCTGGACAAGATCGATTACGAACAAATGCCTTGTATTTACATAGGTTCCTCTCAATGGGATACATCCAACGAAGACGAGCTGGACCCCCAAGCTTAATTTCATTCACC